GATACTGAGTACTACGAATATCACACGAGAACACGATAGAGTCACCGAGTGTTAAGAGGAATATGAAACACTCGAGATGGTCAATCCATTAATGATATCCTCACTTCTTGAAAAGGTAAAGGGATGCTGGCCAATGCCTTGCCATTTTCAGCAATGGAAAATCTCGCAAGGCGAAGATTTAGCAGATCCACGGCGTATATTATGAAGCCCTCAGTAGCGAGGAAGGCCATACGACCATGAATGAGGACCTCGGCGACTGGCTTGTTGAAGTCGTTGGCCGCGAAGGCTCGTAGTATTGAATGTTCTGTTATGCATTCGCATGTGAGAAAATGGTGATCTCCGAGGGAAGTTATCGCATCCATATAACCAGCCTTAGTAAGAGTGCTCTCGATTGAGATAGCCGTTGGTAACGGGAAACGTATGAAGCACCAAATTGGCCATCGCAATTCTATGCAGAGACGCTTGCTGGTACGACGCTCGAGCATAAGGAGTTGCAGCGACAGTCTTTGCCGACGCGAGGCGCAGCCAGAAGACATTGATGACCACACACTCCAAACTATCAAAGTCTTCACTGAGGAGCTCTCAGCATGAACACAACAGCTCATTTTCGGAACCACAGTGTTTGAAGAGTTCAGGATTATTATATCATAGGAGCAGTAACAGCAGGAATGTGCATCAAAGAGAGGACCAGAAGCTTCTGTAATCGGGCAGATGTCCCATCAGCTGAGCCCCGGGGAAACGGAGGAAACTGCAGAGAATAGTCTCAACAAATCCGCGTTGTTCTGGAGTGAGTAAAAGTATGTCTGTTGGTGGGGGCTCATACGCCACTCGGACCGCGGTGGGAATAGTGAGGTCTTCGAACGACTTGAAAACATTGAGCTCCGCTTCCCTCAAGTCCGTCGGCAGGAGAATAACAACCCCGAGGAGTGAAACCAGGAGGGTCTCAACAGAACCGTCATGGGTTGCTACCTGAGGAACAAGCTCCCCATCTTTAACAAGACCAATAACTAATACAGACTTACAACTTCTTCCGGGGTGTATTCACGTCGTAACAGCTGCTCCTTAAGGCGTCTATCAGCGTCCCAGTCGAACTGCTCAAATGATCGGTATGGTAGCGTCCTCAAATGTTCAACCCAACGGCTCGACAAACCAACCCGATCGGCACCCGTGACCAGCGTCATCAAATACCTAAGGTGCATCGAAAGGGTAATGATGATTCAGCTGAGAATCTTCTCAAGGGACGGAGAGGCCTAGTCGTTACCCCATAGCCCCACCCAAGATTGACGATAACCTCACTAAGGCCTATCTTCACGTGGCATAACCCCTCCCCCTCCCTCTCTTGTTTACCTCCGACCAGGCAGACCATCCTCTAGAATAGAGACACTCGGGAAGGACTGGGTCTGTATATACACCATAGAGGGTAGAGGCTGTAGAGAGGCGTCATACGGGACGACTACGCTCCATCTACGATCATATGATGGACCCTCACGCTTATCAAGCTCTTCTAGGCCTACTCTGGGGAACCATACGACTACACCATGAACCTGTTAGGAACGTCGGCGGTGATAACGACGAAGTGAGAGAGAGCCCACCTTCGAGCCTTCCTTCGGACGGATATTACCGTAATGGCCCTCATAGGCTACCGTGCGGACTGGCGCTGAATTGAAGACCAACTCGTAATCTTCCAGGGTCTGAGACTCTGTTACATTCGGATGGAGAATGGTAAAAAATGTTAACTACCGCTTTGACAGGCTCCTTGTCCGAGACCGCCACCCCTCTACTCCTCAGCGACGCTCGGCTCATATTAGCACCGAAGGAGAATACTGGAACTTCATCATCACCTGCCGGAATGGGCTCACGAAAGCCCAGCGGATGATCAAATACATGTATCATTGAAAAAACAAAACCTTGTTCAAATCGGAAGAATCAACCACACGAACCACCCACTGAAGAAATTCAACTTTCGAGTGGTGCAATATCCACAACAGTAACTCGCTATCTACTGCATGACCACTAGTAACCTAGCTGCTACCAGAGCTCGTATGCTATATGTGTGCGTTATATAGTATATACCATAAACCACAAATATCACAGAGGGCACGACTTTGTAGGAGAGGGCGAGCACGAGCTCAGAGCGCGCGTCCAGGAGCCGATCCAAGTGCTCTGATTTCCGAGTCCAAGTTCTCGGAAAAGCGGCTTTTCCGAGCTCGGATAAAAACTACGAATTAAAGTGCGTTCGAAATTCTGAGCTTTTCCCGAGCTCGGAATCCGTGTTACTCGGTTCCGAGTAACGCCAGGACATACGCCAGAGATTGTAGCAATTGTGGCGGCGATCTGAATCTCATGTTGCTCTTAATCCACCTGTATTTTGTAAAGAGTCAAGACTCTCCCAACTAAAGACTGCGGGCGCTGCCCGTGATAGAACGACTAACGGCAATCATGTTTATTGCCATACTCTCGAGTGGCTTCATAGGAAAGAAAGGCCACCGCGATATGTCGATGACAAGGATGCAAGCCGTCGCACTCACGTGATCACAGAGGATATCCATGCTTTTCCTTCGCTCCATCGCCTCAACAATTCATCGCTTATACGGCTCAATCGTCCAGGCACTCCAAGACACTTTGGGTAAGTTCACAACGCCGGACCGGAACCCAGCATCGTTGTGAGGAGCTGACTATAGTTGGATCACTCACTTATCGGGATAAAACCAAACGCTCCATATCGAGAACCGAATAGAATCATACAATCTCCCCCACATGCACTCTGTTGAGATGGAGCAAAAGACCGAATTCTAATATGCCGTGTATGACTGTCCGAGCGAGACCGACTCGAACTCAAAGTCTGACTAAGCCATACAGAATGCTTTTGCCTTACATAGCTTCTCGATAGTCATTCAATCCAGTGTTGACCAATAAATTAACGAAGACCGTCTTATTACTACTCTCAGAGGTTCCCTTTACCCGGTCTCGAGAAGACCTCTGCTAAGTCGGGAATCAATACTCCTATTAGCCCCGGACGAGAATACCGGAAGCTTGACGAACTCCCTGTACACCATCCATGGGTGCAAGAAGAGAATAAAAGGACTCTGGTAATGAGTCTAGCTGAGGAGGACTAAAATGAACATACCCTCGAGCCGTTATTAAATTGAACAACTCGACACTCACACATGATGAACGGAAACGGCCAAGAATGGTACCAGTAATAACAAGGGCATTGCTCGACTCAGTCGAAATCCGGTTCTAGAATAACGGCAACATTATTGCCACCGAAACGCATGCTCGCGAGGAGACGGCCAGAGCCTATTGCATCCAACTGCTGAATTGAGGCGTCTCGGCCGATGGCGTTCTTGTCGAGTTGAGCCAGATTGTGCGAGGGTGTGCCGTATCTCCATGCAAAGACCTGTGTGGTGAGAAGGACGATGTAAAGCATCGAAAGATGACCATCAAAAGCGAGGCAAGTCGGCCTGCACAAACCGCTCAAAACGACTTCGCCTGGGGTCTCCGGATGCTCAGTATCAAACTGCACAACTCTGTTATTCGAAGTATCGGCTACCAAAATGAACTTGTCATCGACGAGAACGGCGTCCGAGGGGAAAGCCAACCGTGGAGAAGAGGAGGAGGAGGAAGAATCAACAGTGTCGTAGAGACATACAGAGCCGCCATCGGTGACTTCAGTCACTCTACAGCTGAAGGTATCACATACAATAGTTCCGCGTTGACGCTGTATTGCTGAGAACACCGTCCGAGGTGCATTCCGTACAGTGTTGGCTGGGAACAACAGGTCGTACACGGGATCATCATGGAGCTCGTGGACAACGTCCCCCTCATCATTGATATATGTACGACTGAGAAGCTCTCCTGTCGTCGCTCGGAATCTACCAATGGAGCCGTCCTTGAATGTGAAAGACCCTATGAGGGTGGGAACGTCAGGATACTTGTCTAAATACCGCTTCACAGGACGCAACCGAGTAGGAAGACCAGATTGTGCCAAGTACGACCATACGACCATTTTGATATCACTACCATAGTTATCAGCGCTACTATTCAGAGCCATCAACAAGGTACACATATGTGGTATCCTTCGCTCGTACACTGGCCTGTCTTCTGGCTTGGATACGATGGTATTACAAACTATCAGTCTTGTTAAAAAAGATACGCCACGTTCTAGCAGGTATGGGAGATCATTTAGTAGAAGAGAACTCATCGGCAACAGCGTGTGACGCGAGCATCGACGAGATGTGACATTACGCCGATCTTGCACATAATGGAAAAATGATATCCAAAACGACACCTGGGAGATTCGAACTCCCGCGGGCAGAGCCCAACGGCTTAGCAGGCCGCCGCCTTAACCACTCGGCCAAAGTGTCTGATAAAATGTGTATAATCATGCCACCGCTGTATAGTATAAATGATG